AGGAACAACGCTTCTCGGCACACAGAGCTAAGATCGCTATGTACGCAAGTTTCCTCCGTTCGGAACGACTTAGGCCCAGTTCCACAACTTACTTTAACCGAAGTTTAACTCGTTAATGGAAAATTCACATTACGTTTGATGTCCGATGTATCCAATCGGACGTCATACATTGTACATCAAATGCAATGTGAATCCTCCATTAACGAGTTAAACTCCGGTTAAAGTAAGTTGTGGAATCGGGCCTTAGAATCAGTACTTAACGTAACGTAATATATTATGGAAAAGCTTGTGCGGTGGCCCTTAGAGAGAGTCGAGGTTCGTGATATCAAAGTCTGCCCGAGGACGTTACATTTTTTAAGAGAAACGAGTGATTGGGAGAGGAAAGAAAGGAGATAGGACATAACGCGAAAAAGAAATAAGGATCAAGCGGACTTGATAAGAGAAATGAGACCGTAATAGTAAGAATAGTAAAAGATATAACGTGAACTTGAATGAAAGAGAATAACAGGTAAGTTTTAATAAATATATATAAAAAAATTAGGTACTTTTATTCAAAAAGGGTATAAATTTCTATCGAATATCGGTCAAGCAATTTTTCGTTGTGTTAAAAAAGATACGCGATTATAACGTGAGACGAGAAAGCGAGTGGTTTAGCACCGCGAAAATAAGTTAACTTCTTAAAAATTAGTATTTTCATAAATTATAGATACATATATTATACATGTAATTGAACTATATAAAAACATTTCCGAGTGCGGTGTTGAGCGCGTTGCTCGGAGAGTTGATAAATAAGTCGGACATTTTGTGACAGACGTTTGACAGCTGGCCTGCCGTGCGGACACATTTCGAAAACGTTACATTTTAATTGAAATTTCTCTTTATTCTTTGGTTGAAAGTGTTAATAATTCTTTATTAAAGTTACGAGTTATCTTATTAAAAAATGTTATCATCTCTTTTGCGGGCGCGAGTGTGTTGTGTTAGAGTGAGAGCCGAGTGTGCAATGCACACCACCAGAAACCTGCAAAAATTATAACGAGCGCAATTAAACACTATAAAATATACTATCATTATGAGAATAGATTATACAGACTATATAGTAAAGTTTAGTTAATACTTAACGATAACAAAATTCTCAAGTATATAAGAATATACTCTTACTTTCTTTTCTTTTTTCACTAAACTTGAAGATACATAAGTATGCAAGTCCTTCCGTTTTACATGTTTAGCCTCAATCCACATTCCTTCCTTCAGCATATTTATTTGTTTTGCTTGCCTTTCAGCTGCAATAAAATATTAATGTGTGGTTAATATATTTTCTACATTTATATATAATTTATAATCAACTTACTTGTTTCCACAAAAGATTTGATATCATATGTGAGATCAATGTTGAGACTCTCACTCTTAGCAAATGACAGGCCGATGAACCACATAGAACAATGCTTGCCTGGTTCAGGATGTAATGGTGGAAACGCTTCCGGATTTACATGTGCCAAGATAATATGAGGATTTCTCTCCAATGTACCTGTATGAAAGGTTATGATTTTGCCAATTTGGCATCCACAAATTGTTAGAGTATATCGTAATATATTACATAAAGGATATATAAATATACATATATATTCATAATTTTAAGACATTTTATCATTACAAAACACATTAAAAATTAAAATACAGATTAATCCACTAATTACAACTATTTTCCGTTTTTCTGATAAATGATTACTTGTTTCATCTTTTTCTATGTATTTTCTATCTAAAATCAAAATAATATCAAGCATAATTGACCAATCACGGTCGAACAGTAAGGCAGCCATATTGAAACGTAGCTACGCTGAAAATTCCTATGGTTGAAATTCTTAAGGGCCGTGGCACATAGAAAACGACTCATTGTAGAACGGGCTTTATTTTAGCCTTAAGATTTTTATGTGTTTTTTTTTCTTTATATATATAAATTTGATATATTATTGGGTATTATAAAATACAATTGTACAATTTACCAAGAAAAAAATATTTTTTGTCATTGCTCGATAAATGAATTTATTATTTCTCCTGATACAACTTGAAACCATATGGTAAACTATTGCAATATGTGTGTATGTCTTGATATCTCAATAATATATTGTCATTTCTTTATTGAATAGAGTTGAAGAAAAATCTAGGATATTAAAATGTCAATCAATATGAATGCAAAGCAGATACGGCAAGCTTACATTGACTTCTTCAAGAGTAAGGGTCATGAATATGTGCACTCAAGTTCAACAATACCTCATGATGACCCAACTTTGCTTTTTACAAATGCTGGAATGAATCAGGTATTAATATGATTGTATTTTTTATAATTCATGCTATGATTACTTTGTTAGTATTTTATATGATAAATCTGTGTCTCTCTTATTATAAAAATGTATTTCAGTTTAAGCCGATATTCTTAGGAACAGTTGATCCTAATAGTGATATGGCAAAATGGGTACGCGTAGTGAATAGTCAAAAGTGCATTAGAGCTGGTGGCAAACACAATGATCTAGATGATGTTGGTAAAGATGTTTATCATCATACTTTCTTTGAAATGATGGGAAATTGGTCCTTTGGAGATTACTTCAAGGTAATCAATCAATTAGAATTATTGGAAAAAATTTATAATTATCTCCTAAATTTTAATATATAATAATTTTATATCTATTAAGAGAATGTATTGGATTATTTTTTTAGAAAGAAATATGTGCTTGGGCCTGGGAATTTTTAACAGATGTATTGAAACTACCAGTTGATAGATTGTATGTGACATATTTTGGTGGTGATGAGAAGAATGGATTGGCACCAGACAATGAGTGTAAAAACTTGTGGCTTTCTCTTGGGTATTCTCTTATAGTCACATTTTAGAATATAATTATTTTAAACATCTGTTTAAATAATTTTATACTTTATTTCACATTCTGTAATCTTTTTTAAATTTTATATTATAGTTTTTTTTTCTTTTTAAATATATTTTTAACTGTTTTAATGTTTTTGTTTTAACAAAGAAATTTGTAATGTAAATCTGCAGAATACCTGCCTCGCACGTTCTACCAGGCAATATGAAAGATAATTTTTGGGAAATGGGTGAAACTGGACCCTGTGGACCATGTAGTGAACTACACTACGATCGTATCGGTGGTAGAGAAGCGGCTCATCTTGTAAACATGGATGATCCTGATGTGTTAGAAATCTGGAATTTGGTGTTTATACAATACAATAGGTATTTAATTTATCTCTTTAATTTTTATAATATATTTATAATTCTATGTATTTTCTATCTATTTATTGCTTTGTACAGTGCTTTTGCAGCTACTTATTTAAAAATTTACGTTTAATATGTGATAAATGATAAAATAAAAACGACAGGAAAGCTATATAAGTGCAAGATGTTAAATAGTTATAACTAATTAAATTTTTAGGGCATTAATCTGAATTAAAAAAGTTGCATGCATTGCTATAATATACCATATTAATCTATTATCTCAATTTGCATCTGCAAATGTTAAAAGTTAATTAAAGTTATGTGATAAAATATGAACAAAACAGTTTTATAAAAATATAATGAAAATACATGTCCTGTAAATGTATTTATTCATTTCGTTACCTATTAAATGTCGTATTTTTGACTCGACAAGGCCACACCATTCAAGTTGATCTTCCGCGCTTGAACTTCTAGCCAACAATACAATATAATGTTTATATTTTCCAAAAAAGTTTGGCGGTTCGAACAACTTATCCCACGTTGCTTTACCAATGATGATCTCTTCAGTTATGCCTAGTCCATTTTTAAACGCTTCTTGCATGATAGTTCTAGTAGACACGGATACATTGAAAGTAAAATTTTGTTGAGGATATGCTGGTGTAATTATTGGCATTAAATGATATCTGTCTGACACATTTACCTAAAAATTATTAATAAAAGATTTAAAACAAGATGGATAAAACTAAAAAGATTTACGATTTTATATATTTCATGCACACCAAATTTTATTATATAAATATATTATTTTCTAGATATTTATATTGTTAAAAGCGATATTTATTTGCAAAATATAAAAGCAGAATTTCTTACTCTTGGATCCCAAACTGGATAACCTAGATTGACAGTATCAGGTTGTTTTAAGAGTACCGGTTGTGGCCATTTCCATTGAGAGAATACAAGGAAAAATTTTTCTATTAGAGTTGCAGCCACAGCATTAGGATAAAGCTGACATGTTCGAGCGACTAACATCGCCCAGGACATATCACCAAGATAACCTAAGACATTGCTGTATATGCCATGTCCTAAAAATGAAAAAGCGGATATAGGATAAAATATGCATTATGCTATTGGTTATTATAAAGAAAAATATTATGTAATCTTACGTTTCGCCCATAATTTTATAGCCCTAAGGGCCAATCTAAAATTTTCTATATTAGGTACTAAGCGCAATATTTCAGCAGTTCCTCTGCAACCATTGAGACTCCTGACACACTTTTGATCAAGATTTTTGAGTAGCATGTCATCCTTGAGATCCTGTAAAGTTATTAAACATTTAGTAAAAAATTTAGAACTTGTAAAAAAAGTAGTTTTACATATAAGTATTAAATATTACTAACTATCGAATCCGGAATTTCTTTAAGAGTTAACTTTGCAAATAACATGTTGATTTCTATACCATCAAAATTCATTTTTATGACTGGTACAAAGGCTTCTTCCACTGCCTACAATATATCATAAATATTGTAAATATTATTGATCAAATCAGAATTAAGTAGAAATTTAATATATGTTAGAGATTATCATACACATATATATGCACTTTTCTGATTAAATTTTATATATTGATTACATAACAAAAAATTTTTGTTATATTTATATTACATTAAATAAAAAAATACATTTACCATACACATATAAGAGCGTTTCTTAAAAAAATAAATATTCAACAAGAAAACAACTGCATATATTAGATTCTTGAGCTACTTACCCTTAAATCTGTAACTTCTTCTTGCATCTTCAGTAATTCAAAAAAAGATGTAAAATAATCTGATCTATATATGTGACGTGGTACAACACATAAAGCATCAATATCGGCGCCTTTGTGATGTACACCTAATCTATATGAACCAAATGTGTATATTTTACCACCGACTTGTTCAGCTACATTAGGTGGCATATTTCTAGCTATGCTAGTATCTCTTATCCACTGTTTGACCAATGCATTCAGTTTGCTATAAGAATATAAGCAAGTTTTAATAATTTATATATTGTATATATATTTTCTCTCATTAAAACTAATAATATGTTAATAACGCAACTATATTATATAGTTACAACTTAAGGTTACAATTCAAAAGTACCTTAAGATCTCCATCCTATGATTCAATTCTTCTTCAGACTCAAAAACATTATAGGGTTTAAGGGCCTCCTTCAATTCGTTAGTTCTGATAATATGAATGGGTTTAGGCTCCGCTACACTGATAGCAGATGTTATACCCAGAGTACGTAAATTGTTCTTCTCACTCGATATAGAATTCTGATTGGAATTATTGGAATTGTTACTTTGCGTTTGCCACATTGTAGTATCCTTTATTTAAGTATACACCTGTGAAATGTAGATATCTTGCTGTAAATAACAATCATTTCTTATTATACACATTTCTAAGAAAAAAAAATATTTTGCATATTGCATAAGAGAATCAAGTCAATAAAAATGTGAAACTAAATGACGATGATGAAGAGACTGCCTTACCGCTTGATAATGTTTCGTCGAAGATGCAACAGCATGATAAATAAGATACACAGAACGAAGGTACTTCGTCGCTCGTGTTGTCAGGTTTTAAAACGCGCAAAATTGCATCACGTTAATGCCCCAGATAGTCAAATCTGTTCGAACAGATTTTGCCAAACGTCTGCTACAAATTTTTGTCAGCAGAAAGATTCCAGATTGTATACAAAGTCTGTTATATCAAATAATAATAGCAGAATGTCAGCAGAAATGTTACAAAACGTGCTGACATAATTTGACAGCAGATCAGTAGCAGAAACCGAGCAGGATTTGCATAGAATTATTATAGCAGATAGCCAGCAAAAACCGAGCAGGATCTGCACAACGCAATTTGATGTCAAATTGATAGCAGAAATCAAGCAGAATCTGCGCGCCCGCAATCTGACGGCAGATTGGTAGCAGAAATCGAGCAGGATCTGCTAACATGACTTGACATCAGATTGTCGGCAAAAATCGAGCAAGATCTGCGTGCGCGCAATCTGATGGTAAATTGGCAGTAGAAATCAAACAGAAACTGCAGCTTTTAGCATTCATATAATTTATTGAAATAGTATAGTTTATTCGCTTACAGCTATGCGGCGCACTATTCACTTTCTATACCCGTATTCAAGTTCTTGTCACGAGCGTATATAATGCCTGCAAAATGCGACATTTTTCCTTAAATTACAAAAACTTTTGCAAAATTATGTACGGGTGGTCAATGGTACACCTTTTTATCCATATATATACTTCCTTGATGCTACGTTCGCCGCGCATGCGCGAGGAAACCCGGCCCATCTCACAACACTGTCTGACGGCAGATTGGTAGCAGAAATCGAGCAGGATCTGCTAACATGACTTGACATCAGATTGTCGGCAGAAATCAAGCAAGATCTGCGTGCGCGCAATCTGATGGTAAATTGGCAGTAGAAATCAAACAGAATCTGCAGCATTTATATAATTTATTGAAATAGTATAGTTTATTCGCTTACAGCTATGCGGCGCACTATTCACTTTGTGGCTTCAGCGTTCGCTCGTACGTAGCCGTATACAGCGCCCCTTCCACCGCTTCGCCGCGCACCGAGCAACGCCTGTGTAGGAAGTCTCTTCTCGCCGCGCGCTTGTGATTGGCCCATCTTTTTTAATTAATTTCTTAATAATTATTACGAAAATCGCAAAATGGTAAAGGACTTTTCTTCTCGGTTTCATGTGCTCTACCTGCACATGGCGGGTGATCCGCGAATTATGGGACACCCTGTATATGGTAGCTAGTGTTAAATGTGCGAGTACAAATAATTCTCGGATACCAACTGTTCGAGACGTATCGAACTCGATAACAGCAAAATTTAAAAGAATTTAATTTAAATGGCTGCGTTCAGCAGAAAAAGCAGCTTTGAAACTGTTGTAAAATTCTTTAATATGATTGGTTTATACATTTAGATCCGGCAGGAACTAAGGGCAAGAACCAATCATATTAAAGAATTTTACAACAGTTGCAAAGCTGCTTTTTCTGCTGAACGCAGCCAATACTTTGCAACAAAATAAATCAAAATAATATCAAGCATAATTGACCAATCACGGTCGAACAGTAAGGCAGCCATATTGAAACGTAGCTACGCTGAAAATTCCTATGGTTGAAATTCTTAAGGGCCGTGGCACATAGAAAACGACTCATTGTAGAACGGGCTTTATTTTAGCCTTAAGATTTTTATGTGCCACGGCCCTTAAGCCCGTATCAGACTACGCATTGAAGATTGAGATTCAAGATTCAAGATTGAAATTTGACCAATCAGAACAAAAGGGACTAAAATTTCTTTGTCCTGATTGGTCAAATTTCAATCTTGAATCTTGAATCTCAATCTTCAATGCGTAGTCTGATACGGGCTTTACCGGCTCACGACAGCTCGCGAAAACACAAGTGGTATGTTCTGCATGTGCTCTGAATTTTTTTTTCTTTTTTTTTCCCCTTTCTCTTTCACGTGCTTTCATTATCGATACGAAATACGACCAGTTGTGTTTGCTCAGACTTTCGTATGTTACCTGAGAGTAAGTTTTGCACCATATATATCATAAATTTTTAATTATTTAATTATTTCAAGTTTAATAAACAATTTAATTATGTTAATTATATCAATATTTCAGGGAATCAGATGGCAGTCTTAAATCATTACCAAAAAAGCATATAGACTGTGGTTTGGGCTTAGAACGATTAGTATCAGTAATTCAGAATAAACGTGCTAATTACGATACTGATTTATTCATGCCTCTGTTTGTTGCAATTGAAAAGGCTACAAATGCCCCACCCTATCAAGGTAAAGTAGGGGCTGATGATGTAAATGGAATTGATATGGCATACAGAGTTCTGGCGGATCATGCTCGAACTATCACAATTGCTCTAGCAGATGGAGGAATGCCTGATAACACTGGTAGAGGGTAAGCGAGATTATTTAGAACTTTTTGTCTCCTTTTTTTTTTCTTTTATGCTTTTTAATGTAATACGAAATTTCTATTTGATAGATATGTCTTGAGAAGAATCTTACGACGTGCTGTACGTTATGCGACAGAAAAATTAAACGCTAAGCCTGGATTCTTTGGATCTCTTGTAAATGTAGTTGTAGATCTTCTCGGTAAATATTTTTTATTACAATAAGAAAAGTCTCTATATTTATTACTTGCATTATTTCTAAAGTCGACCTTTTGTTGTTACAGGGGAAGTTTTTCCAGAAGTAACAAAAGATCCACAAAGTATAATTGATGTTGTGAATGAGGAAGAGGCCCAATTTTTGAAAACTTTATCGCGCGGTCGTAATTTGCTAAATAGAACCATAGCGAAATTAGAGTCAAGCGATACTGTACCAGGTGATGTCGCATGGCGCTTGTATGATACTTATGGTTTCCCGATAGATCTCACTCAATTAATGATTGAGGAAAAAGGGTTGAAAATCGACATGGCAGGTTATGAAGAATCTAAAAAACAAGCGCAGGTATTATATATATTTCGCTCTATAACGATTAATCTATTGATTTAATGTGAATTAAAGTTTTTTATATATTTATTATAAATATTTTCTCAATTATATAGTTAATTTCCCAAAATAAAGCTGGTGGAGTAGACGACCAAATAAATTTGGATGTCCATGCCATCACTGAATTGCAAGAACGTGGTGTTAAACCTACAGACGATTCTCCTAAATATAATTATAAGGTGATTAGTTCCGTTAAATACGAGGAGTATGAGTTTGCGCCATGTACCGGTACTGTGATCGCACTGAGACGCGCCAAGACTTTCGTCGATCAAGTAACATCTGGCGAAGAAGTTGGAATTTTATTAGATAAAACGAATTTTTACGCGGAACAAGGAGGTCAGATATACGACGAGGGATTTTTAGTGAAAGTCGACGATGAGGTATGCAAAAATGAATTCACTTTTAACTGCATGTAATAAAAATGAGATTATTGCTATATTGTTTTGTACAAGGCTACAGAGATTCGCGTGAAAAACGTTCAAGTTAGAGCCGGTTATGTGCTACATATCGGTACCGTAGGCGAGGGTACGTTAAGAAAAGGAGATAAAGTTCATACAAATGTGGATACGGCACGTAGACGGCTAGTAATGGCTAATCATAGCGCCACGCACGCCCTTAATTATGCGCTTAGGAAGGTTCTGGGAACAGGAGCTGATCAAAAAGGATCGTTAGTTGCACCTGATAGACTCCGTTTCGACTTTACAAACAAAGGTACATTATCGAAAAATATAAATCGTACTATATCATGCAAATTTATTCTTATTATATGCTATTGAATCTTCACAATAGGACCAATGACAACGGAACAAGTGAAAAACACGGAAAACATTACCGCTGATATGATCAAGAAGAACAAGAAAATTTATGCTAAGGAGAGTAATTTAGCTTTGGCGAAAACCATTCAGGGTTTACGTGCAATGTTCGAAGAGACATATCCTGATCCGGTACGCGTTATTAGTATGGGCATACCGGTTAATGATCTAGAAAAGAATCCTTTGAGTACAGCCGCTCTTGAAACTAGCGTAGAATTTTGCGGTGGAACGTAAGTACCGTCCATATAAAGTTGCAGACACACGTTTGATGCTCGCTTCTTCAAGTTGACGATTTTTTTCTATAGACATTTACATTACACTGGCCACATAGGTGATTTTATAATAACCAGCGAAGAAGCGATTGCTAAAGGCATCAGACGTATAGTAGCGCTCACTGGACCGGAAGCTGCCAAAGCTTTCAGAACGGCAACATTATTGCAAAATCAATTATCCCATCTTCAAAAAATGATTGAAACTGATAAATCTGGAACAAATTCTAAGGAATATGTGAAGAAGATAGTGAAACTGACGGATGAAATAACGCATGCCGTTATTCCTGGATGGAGAAAGGTAATTACATTTAACACAACTTTCGTTTCAATCAATAATAAATGTTTTAACTCGTTGCACAAATAATTTGTCTTTATATGCAGGATAACATGCGTGCCACGCTGAAAGAATTAAAGAAATCTCTCGACGATAAGGAACGAGCAGCAAAGGCAGCTATCGCTAACACAGTTGTAGAAACTGCTCAATCTATAATACAGTCCAGAGTTGGATGCCAAGTCTTAATCGAGGTTCTGGAAGCGTACAGTAATACGAAAGCTCTGGATTCGGCATTGAAGAAGATTAGAGTTTTATCGCCGGAAACTAGCGCTTTGCTTATAAGTGTCGATCGCGATGTCAAAAAGATATTTGCTCTCAGTTCTGTGCCAAAGGTAAAGAGATTTATTCTGAGAAGCATCAAGAGATAAAAAATAAAAACATTTGCACAATATAATATTAAACAAGATTATTTGTAGTCCGCGATTTCCAAAGGACTGAAAGCAAACGAATGGATCCAAGTGATTGCGCCTGCGATGCAAGGCAAAGGAGGCGGAAAACCTGAATCTGCACAAGCTTCCGGGACTAATATAGCGTGTTTGAACGAAATAATAAGCAGAGCTAATGAGTTTGCCAAGCAAAAACTTGGAATTATAGGTAAGTGTAGAAATATTTTGCGTTGTTAGTATACAATTTATACTGTAAAATAAAAAATTGTGTATCTGCTTCCAGAAAAGAGTATCGCTAACGATACTTGTAAGACTTTAGAAAATGATAATCAATCAATGGACTCGTCATCAAAATTGTTACTTTATGCAAATATTGGGAGTGCTAAATGCTATTTGGCACAAATAATCGCGCGATATAGCGACAAATGTTTGACTATTAAGCAAATCGAAAATGATAAATTACATTCTAGCAATATAATATTAAAAGCAGCAGATGCCACATTATTCGATATCAATGCTATCGCGTTCTTTTTATCAAATTCGCAGCTACGGCGTGAAGATGATTTATTCGCATCCAGCCAGGTTTTGCAATGGACGAATTATGCGCAAAATCACATTTTACCGGCAGTCAGTGGCTGGGTGATTCCGTCCCTCGACACTTCTGTATCAAAAGATATGAAAACGAACGCAAAGGTTTCTAAAGAAGATGTTCTTTCTGCTTTAAGAACATTGGACAACACATTACATACAAGAACATACTTGATAGGAGAAAGAATCACTCTTGCGGATATATTTGTTTTTATCGCGCTATTGCCTTTGTACGAATATGTATTGGATCCGCATTATAGAAAGCAATATACAAATTTAAATAGGTGGTTTTCTACAATTTTGAATCAGCCACAAGTAAAATGTGTAGTAAAGAATTTTACATTTTGCACAAAATGTAATGTTAATTAATAGCTATTAGCTATTGTAATAAAAATATTTATTTGCATTTTCTACTGGAATGCGCTGTTACATTATGCAAGAGGATTGTCATTTTCTTCCGATGTATTGGTTTTAAGATTATCATACAGTATCCTAATTTCTTTTAATAAAGTGGAGATGTTTGTACCCAGCTTGGCAGAGATAGGAATTATCGGTAAATTTACATATTTCTTGAGTAATTGTAAATTAATCTGAAATATAAATTGCAACTATATTATTGTAAAAATCACTCGAAATTTTTATCACAACTACCATACTCTCTCTCTTTCTACCATTGACATTTAAATTAATTGGGCAATAATTAGTAAACAGAAAAAAAGAGAATTTTAGATTCTGATTGCTCTCACCTCAGCATTAGGCAAATCCATTTTGTTCGCTATAATGATATGAGGCCTATCGTTTAATCTTTGATTAAACTGATTAATTTCATACTTTAGAGTTTCTAGAGCTCTCCATGGTTCGTCCACTGTAACGTCTAAAATAAATATTAAAGCGGCGCAACGCTCCGCGTGTTTGAGAAAAGTTATACCGAGTCCTTTATTCTTGTGCGAGTCTTCTATGAGACCGGGCATATCGGCCACTGAAACAAACAATGATAAAATAGAGTGAGAAAGAAGAGAAGAATGGTTTTTATTGCGTTATATTAAATACAAATTACCTGCAACTTGTTCATAATCATCATACTGTATCATGCCTATGTAAGGTTTCAGAGTAGTGAAAGGATATGCTGCTATCTTTGGCCTAGCTCTGGTTATAGCTCTTAAAAGTGTACTTTTACCAGCATTTGGTAGACCAATCTATATACAAATTCATAAAAAAATATAAAACAAAAATGTAACACGCGCGCGTATTTTTATATATTTTATAATGTATTTATATTTTATAATATATAAGTGTTTGAATTGTATTCTTGAAAATTAATTTTTTTGAATGAAGAAATAACAGAAAATCATAGCAATAATTGTAATTATGAAGAGAGTATATATACATATAACACTCACTAATCCAATGTGGGCCATACTTCTTATTTCTAACACATATTGCAAGTCTTCTCCGATCGCACCATATTCGGATATTTCTGGTGATTGCTGAGTATCTGACTTAAAAAAGACATTTCCATGCCCACCGGCACCACCTCTCGCGGCAATAAACATCATCCCATTTTGATCCAAGTCGGCTAATATTCTGCCATTTAGATCACGCACGATCGTCCCAATAGGTACTCCTATCACATTGTGTTGCGCGTTTTTGCCAAAGCAATCTTTAGTATATCCCTTCTCACCATCTTCAGCTCTAATCACAGACTTTATATCTCGAAGATCTTTCACATTTGTTTTTGCCTATACAATAAAAGTGAATCTTTGCTATAAAGTCAGATGTGATGTGTATATATATATATTATATTTTATTAGTCACATTTATTATGATAATCTTACTTCAAATATTACATGACCACCATGCCCACCGTCACCTCCATCAGGACCAGCTCGATCATTGACCCACAATCGTAAGAACGATATTTCACCATCTCCACCTTTTCCTCCGATTGTTCTTGTCTAACAATCACATATTCGTAAATTTATAATCTGATGTCTAAATATTTTTAAATATGATGCAAGACAATGTTCCTACTTGTTTTATATCAACAAAATACTGTAGAGTATCGTGTTTTGATTTTGGTTTTATACTACGTAAAGGTTTGGCTATAGATTTCTTCTCATGTATACATGCAGTGACAGACAATGTCCTAAATAAGTTTCTATTTGACATTTTGCATTTGTTTCTGTTCAATATAATTTTGTAACCTTGTTCTTGAATTGTATCGCACGCGATGATATTTCTCAAACGACGAAGGCAATGCATCTGAAAATAATAATAGCAATACATTCAGAGTGTTAATAATTAAATGGGAAAACTGACAAATAAGAGCTAAGGCGCAGGTACTGGCGCGAACTTATATTGTAAATGTAAATCACCGATTTGTATAGACTTTACGCGGATTTTAGTGAGTCTTCTTCTTTTATTATCAATTTTAATTTAAAATTTGACTGCAACAACAAATATCGTGTATGTCAAGTTTTAAAATTTCAATGTAATCTTTATATATTCATCCATGCTGAAGATTGATTAAAAAACGGTTCAAAACGTACTATACATTTTTAATACACACATTTATTACTAATATATAACATAATATATAATAAGTTCACACCAATACCAATACCCGCGCCTTGGCTTTTATATTTGCCAGTTTTCCCACTTAATTGCATCTGAAAATGACTATAAAAGATGTGAGAGAATTCCATATCTTAAATATAATAAGATAAATTAATATATATGCATGTACCATTTTAATGAAATACAGCTTTATTTTTTAATAATTTGTGTCTTTAGCTAGTTTTGTACTAGATTATCTTGAGATAGCAACTTGAAAGTTGTCTTCTATAAAACTCGTGATTACATCTTGATGCAATTCAATAACTCTTTTTCTATATAAAGGTATATAATATGATTTGTAAGTTATTCTATAAGTTCTTTTTATCTTTTTGTCAATAGGAGACAGATAATAATTGACAAAATCAATATTGTCAATGACAGCTCCTGCATAATTATATAATGATTGATAAAATTCAGGTGTATTAAAATCTGTGTCAGTAGATAAAGTTAGATCAAATACAAAAATACATGGATAAATACACCTGACATCGTAATCCGATTCATTTTCGATATTGTTCATTACTTCTTTCCATGTAATATTATTTATACTGTATTTAGAAATGTCTATTTTATTGCTAGGTGTAATATTATACACTGTGGGTGGCTTGCTCTTTATAAAAAAATGTGTCAACGAGCCTGCTGTATGAAATTGTTTCTCTAAACTGCGATAGCCTGTTACAACAAAGTCTGGAAAAGATTGCCACAAAAAGGGTTCTACTTTTGTTAATATAAAATTTCCATGCGCAGCCATTTCTACAATTTTCCATGAATCATCCCAACGCCTCTTGGGATTGTCCATAGGTGTTCCACCTTGGCCATTACACAATGTCACTAATACTTGACCATTTTCTTTTATCATTTTTTGGGATGATACAAAAAAGCTTTTCAGTAAGTCCCTATTTTTATCTATTCTCATTTTACCACCCACATGAGGAAAGTTAAAAATAATTTTGTCAAATAATTTAGATTTTAATGCAAGACATTCTTCCAATTTTGTAGCATCTACATCAAACAATACACAGATACCTGGAAAAAAAAGCATAAATAAGTTTCTCTTTTAATTGCAAAATTTGATTACGATATTGTGAGTATATGAGACGGTTTCATACGATTTACTAACCATTGTTCTGAAGATACTTTATATTTTCTTTTGCAGTCTCTTGACTCACGCTAGATTCATAGCAAGTAGTAATAAACTTTATGTTTAAATTATGCCGCAATAATGCTACAGAAAATGAGAAATTGCCTTCTCCTACTAGCAATACAAAGTCATCTTTATTAAATACTGAAATCTTCATTCTTCTTTCTCGAAGTAATCGAACGATATACGAATTGTAAGATTTTATTATTAGTAAATGCTTTTCTTTCCAGATATAGAAAAAGATAATATTAGGTTTCTTTAAGTTGAAAAGTGCTTTCAAAACTTAAAAAGTTATTTAGCACATGTATCTCTGCATATTTGACTTGACACTTGATACCAGTTAGCATAGGTTAAGAAAATAGGTTAGCTAGTCTGTATCTCTTTATAATGGCAAATAATATCTTGATTGCATTTGACAAAAACTAACCTTCTGTTTTATTATAAAGAGACAGAGAAGCTCTTTAAAATGTAATCAATTTTATCAAAATATATTTTTTTTTCACGTTATGTCGATTTAATTTTCACATGTAAACGATCATTTCACAAGTGTTCAAAAATCTATTTTTAAATGTATCGTTTAATGGACCAATCAAGACAAAAGGAGTAAAGAATTCTTTTGCCTGATTGGTCAACCAAAAGTTATTCCGATTAATAGATTTTCGAACGCAATTCAAAAATGCGTTCCGGTTGACGCTACAAAAATTTGATGAATCATTTGATGGACCGATCAGAACAAAGAAATCTTTGCTCTCTTCATCCTGATTGGTCAATCAAACGATTCGAAACATTCGTGGCATCAAATAGAGCCATGAATGGAGAGTACATCTAAATCCCATATCAGACTACGCATTGAAGATTGAGATGCAAGATTCAAGATTGAAATTGACCAATCAGAACAAAGAAATTTTAGTCCCTTTTGTTCTGATTAGTCAAATTCCAATCTTTAATTTTCAATCTTCAATTTTCAATGCGTAGTCTGATACGGGCTTAATGCTACACATGTCGTGCTCCAAAATAATGTATGATATTCAAACAATTTAAGATGATGTAACTTTTGAATAAACAAATTATTCTTAGTATAATTTGTATATGAATCATCACATTAAAGTGAAGATGATTAATTTATAATAAATTTTCTGGACATTAATCATTCTTTTTCAAGAAAAAAAACATTTAGTACGAAAAACTTGCCAAACTTATTTTCGTTACTTGCATTATCAGTCCACGCAATGCACGTGTTTAGAATGAAAAGTTAATCTTTGTACATATATATATATATAAAATACAACATTTATAAAAGAGAAATGCTTAAACATTACTGAGAAGAGAATGAAGAAATAATAATTTCATATATTATATACAAAAAGATGAAATAAAAGATTGAATATTTTTTAGTCCAGTACGTAACAAAATGCTCGTTAGCAAAATTAAAATTGTACTTGGTGGTTGTACCAATGCCATGGCAAAATGTCATGTGCGGCCGATAATGAGTAATGTCCGTAAAGCAAATGTAAGTTTTTTTAAACATTTTACAAAGCATAATTTCGATATAACTATATTTTTATTGTAACCTAAAAAATATAATCTATATATTTACATTCGAAATACAAATCTTATTTTTAGTTTCTCTTAAAAAACCGAACACCGTGTTTAGTAGGCTGCATACATAATTTAGTTATTAACAAGTCAGCACCTACGATCAAAGAAGGAGTTTTGCCAGTTAATAGATATGTTTTGAGAACGCACACATGTGGTGAACTGACACTTCAAAATGTCGGAGAGGAAGTAAAATTGAGCGGCTGGATGGAATTTCAAAGAATGGGAAAATTTATAACATTGCGAGATTCCTATGGATCAACACAGTTACTTATACCGGAAGATGTAAGCGAATAGTTGATATATATTGAAATATTTGACAAATTTTTCATATAAAATAGTGAAAAGACTGATTTTAATGAAATACTAATTTTAGAGAAAGGATTTGATTGAAACTGTAAAGAATTTATCTTATGAGAGTGTTTTAAGTATAGTAGGCAAAGTTATATCAAGACCAAAAGATCAGCGGAATAAGAGAATGAAAACTGGCGATATAGAAGTATATATAGAGTCCTTGAAGATTCTAAATATAGCATCACGCAATCTTCCAATATTTATTAGAGAATATAATAAAGCAAAGGAGAGTCAACAAATGAAATACAGATATCTTTCATTGAGATATCCTGAATTGCAAAAAAATTTAAGAATGCGTTCCTCTTTGATAATGAAGATGAGGGAATTTTTAATCAATGAATGTAATTTTGTGGATATTGAGACACCGACGCTTTTTAAAAATACACCAGGAGTACGTTTTATATAAAAATATATATAAAAAAGATGTTTAATTTTTAAGGTAACTATCACAAATATATGAAATGGATTTATTATTTAGGGTGCACAAGAATTTATAGTGCCTACTAGACTACCAGGTAACTTTTATTCACTGGTACAGAGTCCTCAACAATTCAAGCAACTTCTTATGGTGGGTGGCTTTGATAGATACTTCCAAGTCGCTCGATGTTATAGGGATGAGAGTGCCAGGCATGATAGACAACCAGAATTTACTCAGGTAATTATATTGTGTAAATATAAAAACAATGTTATATTTTATTATCAGTCATGTTATAGCTAGATATTGAAATGTCGTTTGTTGATCGAGATGGAATAATGAACTTGATTGAAAATTTATTGGTATACTCATGGCCAGAAGAATTAAGCCCTATAAAAGTACCTTTCAAGCTTATGATGTATAAAGATGTAATGGAATTGTATGGTACTGATCAACCAGATTTGAGGATACCATATCGAGTAAGAGAATTTTAGTATATAGAACTATGTATCTTTTATTTCTTGATACACAAACACATGTAATAACGTTCCGAGTTTTTCAGATACAAAATCTTACACATATTTCTGATTTATCAGTATTAAAAAGAACCATGAAAGTTGAAGATGATAAACAAAAAGTGTATGCGTTAATCTTTCCAAATAAATTAGTAAGTTTTTATTTTTTTAAACTATTTAAAAAAAAATTTTTTTTAAATATATACTTATATCCTATCTTAATGCAACTTCTATATTGCAGAAGTACTTGACAAAATCTATCAGAAATGAATTTTCCAAGATCCGTAATGACTACTTCAATACGACAAGGCTAATTCAATTAAAAATTGAAAATAATTTGTGGAGAGTTCAATTAGATGAATTATTTTCAAAAAATGTAGCAGAAGATATATCACAGTATTGCAAATTACAGGAAGGAGATGCAATATTATTAGCAATTGGACATGAAATTAATGCAGTGAGTATAAAAATGTTTGAATTCTTTTCTTAATGATAATAAATAATTATTTTTCTATAATAACTATATTAATTATTATATATATTTTTTAGTTGAAACTCTTAGGAAAGCTACGTGTAGAATTCACAAATATATTGGAAGCAAAAGGTGAACAGATACGTTCGTCTGAAACCGAATTTGTATGGATCATAGACTTTCCATTATTCACATTTGAAGAAAAGTTGCAATCGACGCATCATCCATTTACGCAACCTCATTCAGATGACATAGAATATCTTACGACCAATCCTTTAAAGGTGAAAGGTTAAGATATATAAATATGGCATGAATTATTTATGTCAATTTCTTACACGTCTTTTTTTGATGTAGGTGAGAGGTTTGCATTATGATCTGGTTATGAATGGATCAGAAATTGCAGGAGGTTCTATTCGAATCCACGATGCAAATTTACAGAGGCAGATATTGAAAATGTTGAACATAGATGAATCAAAATTATCACACATGCTCGAAGCTTTGACATATGGAGCTCCACCTCATGGTGGAATAGCTATAGGTACTTCTATTTGCCTATTTTATATTTGCATTTGAAAATTAAGATGAAATACAATTATTTTATATTTTTTTAAAGGATTAGATCGCCTCGTATGTTTACTCTGCAATGTGAAAAGCATACGGAATGTTATAGCTTTTCCAAAAACAATAGAAGGGCGAGATCTAATGTCTGGGGCACCGGATGCCATATCAGATGAAGTGAAGAAGTTGTATCACATACAAACATTAGACAAATGAAGAGTTATAAATTTTTTTTCCATGGTAAGTATAACAAAATGAAATCGTACTGATTGATTGCATTCGCGTATATATATAATTATATAAAAAGACGTAACTTTTTGCAATATCTCTAAAGTTGTGCATATAAGAGAAATATATATGTATGTATATACATAATTATATAATTAACTGGCATTTTTCGTCGTATTATTTGTTTTTTTACCGGTGTAAATTATTAAACTATATA